CACACACCCGGGACCACTGTGAGCACTTCACAGAGAGCAGCTCCACTTGCCTGATAGCAGCCTTTAGAATATCCTATTAGGCAAGAAACCCGAGGGATTCACAGAGGGAAAATGAGTCTGCTAGGATCTGAACACCTCCCCTTTAGTCTCCCAAGCAGCCTGCCTGCCTGAGGGGTCCCGCTGAGAGAGGACAGAGGAAGACACTGATGTGGTGTGCTCCAAGAGTCTGGACTTGGGAGGACTCCACGCCCCCTTGGCAGCTAATCACCCCACATTCACCCAGCACACATTCAGAGTGCCCTGTGTCAGTCTCTCAGTCCTCCTCCTCATGCTGCCCTCCCCTGTGGGGCACATCTGACATTCCTGGGGGGCCACCACCCACAAGTCTCTGCTTCCAGAGCCCATTGCCTGCCACACAGGCCATTAGCTCCTCCAGCTGCCCTTTGGGGCAGACAGTGCCACCTCCACCTTCCGGCCAGTGTTCTGAGGATGGCAAACCTTAAACCATTGCTGGGTTAACCTTCAGGATGGGACCCACTGGGTTTCCAGCACAGACTCCCCAGAGTCCTCCCACTACATCTCCTCTGCTCCAGGCCAGCACCCAAGTGCAACAGAGAAAGGGAGGCAGAGAGCAAAGCCATGAGAAATGTGCCCATCTGCTTGCCATAGGCCGAGGGGAGCAATCCAGCAGGGACCACAGTGGAAAACCCGGACGCCCAAGCGACTCCAGCATCCTGATAGCGGTGACCTCCTCCATCCCTTTCTGTCATCCTCTGGGAAGGACCAACCATAAATGAGCTCCACCGTGGCACTTGACAGAGACAACCTTGAACTTATCCTCTCAGAACATGAAGCCTTTCAGGTGACAGCAGAGAGCAGAAAGGGGCAGGTCAGCTGGCTGCAGGGAGAGGACAAGAGGCTAGTTCAGCTCCAATTGTGTTTAGTTTAGGCAAAAATTGAAGAATTTTTTAAAAGTAAGTTATAGGGCTGAAGATTTAGCTCAGTGGTTCTGCCATCTGCCTCACAAGCACAAGGTCCAGAGTTCGAACCCTGGCACCAAAAAAAAAAGTAAGTTGTAAGAATATTTCAGAGAATAAAGAAGGGGGAGCTGCAGCTCACTGTCAGGGATGTACTATGCCAAGCAAGTCTGCAAGGCAAGTCGAGAACGACTGTGCTCTTTGAAGATAGAAGAGAGGCTCAGGGGATTAAGCAAGCTGCCTCATCTCATGTGGCCAGCAAGTGACAAAGACGTAGGCTGGTTTGATTCTAAAACATTTGCTCTTTCTGCCTCCTCCACATCAACACACAGGCGATTGCAGTAGGATGGCAATGCCCCTCAAAGATGTCCACGCGATCCCCAGCCCCTGTGTAATCCACAGCACAGGCAGGAGTTTCGGAGTGCACTGAACGACTAAAGGGAGAGCATCCTGGGTTATCTGCTAGGTTCAGTGTAGGTACAAGGTCCCTTAATGTGAAAGGGGGACATCAGAGTGAGGGGATGTGACACCAGGAGCAGAGGTCCGAGTTAGACTTGAGGATGCCAGGATGTGGGCTTTAGAGATGGAGGAAGGAGACACAAGTCAAAGGAAGGCAGGTGACCTCTAGAAGCTGGAAAAGGCCAGGAAATAGAGCCTCCCCCAGCCTGCTGCAGAAACCCAGCTTGACTGAGAGAGACCCCGGTCAGGCTTCCACTCTCCACAGCCGAAAGACAATAATCATGCGTGGCTTTGTGTACCTTTAGCCACAGGCTCAGGATGATGCATCAGAGCGGCAACAGGAAATGAATGCAGGAATGTAATGGATCCTAAAGGAAATGACTGCATTATTTGTGCACCCTGGATTGGATTGGTGAGAAAATAAGGTGTTTAACACTGAAATGAAGAGTCACTGCCTTTGTGTTACAAGTTGCCTTTGGCTTCGTTGTGTTTGTGTTGTGTCAGGGCTTCTAACAGTCTGTGAGAGAACCAATAATGGATTAAAAGGTCAAAAGGAACAAAACCCTCTAATTATGAAAAAGCATACATTTTATTGTACAAAATTACACAAAGTATACATTTAACTGACATAGAAAAATACATCTCGGTAACAAGAGAAAACCCGGGCCTGTTGTACACAAGACAGAACGATCGCTACAAATCTCAGAAACCTGGAGGCAGACTGAGCCCGGACACGGCAGATGGAGAGTCTGACGAACATCTCTGGGGACGGTGACAAGGAGGGTCCCGCTGAACGGCACGGGGAGGGGTCTGCGTGTATCGCCAGGCCACCCCAGGGCTGCACTGCCAGCATCCGGTCCTGGGGCTGGGGAAGGCAGACCCACACGAGCCTGCCTTCAGGTCCGTGCAGCCTCAGGCATGGAGTGACCATGCACACAGGCCCCCGAGGGGAAGCACACACTTTCCACATGGATGTGTGCATCACCCTTTCCTTGTGATCTCTGTCCTGATTTAACCTGGGAGGAAGGACACAGGGAGGTTCTGCCGAGAAACTGCAAGACTTACTCACGGTCTGGCCAGGGACACTCACCCCTTCCCAGGGCTGCGGAAGAGACCATCGCAGCCCGGCTCGGGTGGCACACACCAGCCCTCTGTGATGTCTGCACGCAGCCTTCCTGGGGAGAGGCTGAGGGGTGTGAGCACGCTGTGCAACTGTGCACAGCCACGGTGCAAACCCAGGCGTGCAAGTGGCCCCACACTCGCCCTCCTGCCTCTGGGAGGTGTCCTGTCCTGGTCCCAGCGAAGAGTCTAAGGGAACGGTCCGATCGTCACTGCATAGGCCCTCGTTGCCCTGTCACTTCGATGTCATGGTTACAAGTGCAAAAAGGCAATGTGTTACTTTACTTTAAAATATATTGATAGAGTCAAAACCGAGTTTCCAGCCATGTTGAACAACGTCATTCCTGGCGAGACTTCTTTCTCTCCCTTTTTTCTACCATCCCATGAAAGTGCCATCGGTCCGCCCTTTATCAAAGCCCAATGTTTTCAAAGACCAAAAAGACGGTGTTGAAGAGAACCTTACATCCCTGGGATCAGTGTTCCTTAGTCTTCCTACAGCTCTGAAAACTGTATTTACACCCGGCACGCTGGGGTCGGATTTGGAAGGGAGCTGTGCTTGCTGAAAGCAGAGCAGGATTTAGAAAGAATCAAATGGGATAAAGAAATCCCAATCCTTCAATCCCAACTCTGCCAACTTACTGAAGACAGTTTTAGGCTCAAGGTATGAATTATCTTTTTCTAGAAATTCTTATGACACAGAGAAAATGACTAAATACATCAACAGACCCCAGAGGTTTTCCTCCCGCCACTTCCTTAGGGCCCTAGAGATTTCACTTCAAGGCCAAGTAGGAATACAGTTGGCAACCAGAGCAAGAGCTGAATACAAATCGACTCCTGTTTGCTTGCACAGTTGATGCTTCCGCCTCTCCTAGAGTTTCTATTTCTGGTAGAGTTGGGGTGCTGGCCATGACTGTAGCCAAGAGATTCGTTCATTGCATCTGTGGAGTCAGTCACACATTTTGGGGACTTGCGGGTATAGGGCAGTGACCAACTCCCAAAAGCCGAGGGTCAGTACATGTCACGTGTGCCATTTCCGGCAGGTCATCTGCTTAAAAGGCCTCTAAGGGGGAAGCTCTGCAGGTGACTCAGGGCCAGAAATACTCCACAGTTAAGAAGCTTCCTCCTGCGGACCCTTCTTTCCCAGTGAGGAGGAGTAATAAACATGAGTCTCAGCCAGGAGAAGCCCGGGGGAGATCGGGGGATTTAATCAGCACAGGCTCAGGCCGCAGTCTGATGGTTCTTGCCCTGACTGTGGGATGGAACCCCACAGACTTTGCAGGGGCCCCTGAGGTGGTGTCAGTGGGCTAGGAGGGGCCGGGCAGCCTGCCTTCTTTTCAAAGGCTCTGCGGCGGGAATCTCTGCGGTGGGAATCGCCACCACAGGACCAATCTTCACGTCCTACAGACAGCCCAGAGGCCGCAGCAGGCAGCGAGTGTGAAGCGCTTGAGAACACCCACCCAGCCCTGGCCTCCCTGCCTTTCCTCTGTGGGGAACAGCTACGTGGAGAAGAGAACGGTGAGCATCTGAAACACGTCAAGCGAGTCTAGCGCCCTGTTCCCAGAGGTCGATGAGTTCTCTGAAAGTCTCACATTCCAGAACTGGGATTTCTCTCTGGAATCCAAGGGAGGCTGTGAGTCTCCTACAAGAAGCTCAGCAGCCCGAGGGAGAACATCTCCCCTCAAGTTTACAGAGTTTGCTTGATAAATTGCTG